TGTCAGACAGTTAGTTTCTGCCTACCCCTATTGGTTTTGGTTGGAATGGACCTTAAAAATCACGTAGATATTCTCATGTATATTATATTGTATACAATCTAATATACAATATTGTATATACAATATGCAATATTGTGTATATATACAGTTTATATATATTGTATATTATGAACATAATTTTTATAGCTTGATAATACAAGTTATACATGCAAAAGTCCATGGGACCTGATGAAATCTATCTGCAGGTCCTGAAGGAGCTGGCAAATGAAGTTGTTAAGCCACTGTCCATCATATTTGAAAAATCGTGGCAGTCAAGTGAAGTTCCCAGTGACTGGAAAAAGTGAAATATAACCCCAATTTGCAAGAAGGAGAAAATGGATGACCCAGGGAATTACAGACCAGTCAGTATCACCTCTGTGATGGCAAAATCTTGGAGCAGATTCTCCTGGAAGGCATGCTAAGGCACATGAAAAACAATAAGGTGCTTGGTGTCAGCCAGAACGGCTTCACTAGGGGGAAATCCTCCCTGGTCAATTTGGAGGCCTTCTATGAGGGGGCTATGGAACTGATGGACAGGGGTAGAGCAGTTGATGTCATCTACCTGGACTTGTGCAAAGCATTCGACACTGTCCCACATGACATCGTTGTCTCTAAGTTGGAGAGACATCAATTTGATAGATGGACCTCTTGGTGGATAAAGAACTGGCTGGATGGCAGCACACAAACAGCTGTGGTCAATGGCTCAATGTCCGGCTGGAGACCAGTAATGAGTGGTGCTCCTCAGGGATCGATGTTGGGAGCAGTCTTGTTCAACATCTTTGTCGGTGACATGGTGTTCAGGTTTAAACTCAGCCAAACAGTCTCTCTCTCACTCCCCTCCGTTCCCCCCCCCCCCCCCCCCCCCCCCCGCTGCCGGCAGGGATGGGGAGGAGAATCAAAAGAATGTAACTCCCACGGGTTGATATAAGAACAGTCCAGTAACTAAGGTATAACACAAAACCACTACTGTACTGCTACCACCAATAATAATAATGATAAGGGAAATAACAAGGGAAGAGAATACAACCGCTCACCACCCACCGACCGACACCCAGCCCGACCGAGCAGTGATCTAACCCTTCCAGGTAACTGCCCCCAGTTTATATAGTGGGCATGACGTGCTGTGGTATGGGATACCTCTTTGGTCAGTTTGGGTCAGGTGTTCTGTCTCTGCTTCCTCACGGCTTCCCCTCCTCCCTGGCAGAGCATGAGACTCACAAAGTCCTTGGTCAAAGTAAACATTACTGAGCAGCAACTAAAAACATTGGTGTTATCAGCGCTGTTCCCAGGCTGAAAGTCAAAAACACAGCACTGCACCAGCTACTAAGAAGCAGAAAAACGACTTCTGCAGCTGAACCCAGGACACATGGACAGTGGGATTGAGTGCGCCCTCAGCAAGTTTGCTGATGACACCAAGCTGTGTGGTTTCGTTGATATGCTGGAGGGAAGGAATGCCATCCAGAGGGACCTTGACACGCTTGTGAGGTGGGCTGATGCCAACCTCATGAAGTTTAACCATGCCAAGTGCAAGGTCCTACACCTGGGTCAGAGCAATCCCAGGCATAGCTACAGGTTGGGCAGAGAAGAGATTCAGAGCAGGCCTGCAGAGAAGGACTTGGGGGTGATGGTCGATGAGAAACTGAACATGAGCTGGCTTCAGTGTGTGCTCGCAGCCCAGAAAGCCAATCGTATCCTGGGCTGCATCAAAAGGAGCGTGACCAGCAGGTGGAAGGAGGTGATCCTGCCCCTCTACTCTGCTCTTGTGAGACCTCACTTGGAGTATTGTGTACATTTCTGAGGTCCTCAACATAAAAAAGACATGGAACTGTTGGAACAAGTCCAGAGGAGGGTCACAAGGATGATCAGGGGACTGGAGCACCTCCCGTATGAAGACAGGCTGAGGAAGTTGGGGCTGTTCAGCCTGGAGAAGAGAAGGCTGCATGGAGACCTCATAGCAGCCTTCCAGTATCTGAAGGGGGGCCTATAGGGATGCTGGGGAGGTACTCTTCATTAGGGACTGTAGTGACAGGACAAGGGGTAACGAGTTAAAACAGGGGAAGTTTATATTGGATATAAGGAGGAAGTTCTTTCCTGTTAGGTTGGTGAGGCACTGGAATGGGCTGCCCAGGGAAGTTGTGAATGCTCCATCCCTGGCGGTGTTCAAGGCCAGATTGGACAGAACCTTGGGTGGCATGGTTTAGTGTGAGGTGTCCCTGCCCATAGCAGGGGGGGTGGAACTAGATGATCTTAAGGTCCTTTCCAACCCTAACTATTCTGTGATTCTATGAGTTACATATGTAATATAACTACACAAATTACATAACTAACTAAAGCAATTGTTTTCAACAAGCGTGTGTAGCAAAGTTGGATTGTGGTGATGATATATGTATCTATCTGTTACATTCTGTGTTGCAGTACTACAGTTCTAACTTACTCAGGATCCAGCTAAAGTTTATAGTTAAAAAGAGACTGAACAAGACTCTCTAAAAACACCGTCCTTCCAAAACATTCATATAACAACAAACCACCGTAGTTATTTTAATACTTTTTGTATCTTTTGGCCCAAATTTTAATGCTGATCCTTCTTAGAGTAAATATATGTTTCAAATCTGGCCATAGCACTCCAAATTCCATAGGGAAATCAGAATGTTATAAGATCCTCAGAAGAGACAAGAGAGGAGTCAAGTCCAGGGAATGACCCAAATAAAATAACTTGTACAACAGGAGTGGAGTCCAGTTGCAAGCCGAAGTGTTTGCAGACAGGCTAGCACCAGAATAAATAGGTGGCTTATGGTAACATGCTGAAGCCATGGAACACGAACCAGATAGTGTGAATTTAAGTCTTGCCATTTTTAAGAATTTTTATGAGTGTTGTTTGCATTCTGCAGGAGCTCTTTCAGGAACAATTGCCCTAAAACACTGATTCAGGTTTAAGTGCCAATATTTCAAAATGCTTTATAATCAATATGCATACCCAAGGTATTCTGAAAATTGATGTCCCTAGCAAAGGGGAGAACTAAAAGTACAAGTTTAAGATACTTTGCTTCAGTTCGTCCTTCTGCACAAAGGAACTTATTTTCATGGGCAAGATGCTTGATTACATACATAAGTGCATTGTCTTAAAAATTGTAACAGTAGGGACTGAAGCAAAATTACTGGTAAAAACTTCAGTTCGTTTGACTAAGGCACTTGCAATATGCACTGCCCACAGTACAACATCTTTCAGCTTTAAATGTGTTCTGAAGTCTGTATACATAACTGAATGCTGGTGTGTCCAGGCAATGAATCATATTATCCTGCAGGAAAGTTATGAGACATTTAGTCCAGGCATTCCTCAGATGTAGCTCTCCTCAGGAAATAGCTGATTTTATTATTGAAAGTGCTTTAAATTCCATGTTGATAGTGAAGTTGTTTGGAAAACTGATAGACTTTAAATGAGGGTAGGTGAACAGGTGGAGAGGTTGTCTGAATCCCCAAGAACTAATGTGAGGATCTCTATTAATTTCTATGAATTCCTTTTAATGCACCTCCTGTCAGTATGTGTGAGCTATTCTGTATTTACTCTAAAGGGGCTAAGGTCCCTCTCTTAAATACTATCCATTCAAAATCAAGTAAAAAATCTAGGTCTCCCCCATACAGTTCTCTTACTGCAATGACGAAGAGATGTTTGCCTCATGGGCCATCAGTTATTGTGACCTTTCCTGTAGTCCCTCTTAGGCTTCAGTACACAAACCTTTCTCATGGTGGAAAAAACAGCTTAAAATGTTTTTACCCTCCCTTCCCTGAGCCATTCATTCCTGCTTTTGCACTGGAGTTTTCTGCCCAGTCTGGCTATGAGGCTGTGTTATAGCCTGGACCAGGAATATTGTCTAAGGTTAAAAAAGAATCTGTGGGGTTTTTACCCTAATCCAAGTTTCTGGCAACAAGCAGAGCTGAAGTGTCATTGGAGAGCTGAGGAGCAGTACTCGAATTTATGTTCTGAAGTGAGGCTGTGCTAGCACATGCATTGTCTGAACCTTGAGGGTTGTACATTTCACCTTTGCTCTATTAGGTGCATGTCTGTAGGCTTCTTTTTCACTCCTCAGCTCCATAGTTACTACAGCTTTGTTTAAAAAATAAAATAGGGTTACATTTCAAACTGTATGAAAGCTGACTGACATAAGTAAATCATGGCAATACAGCAGATATATAAGTAATGTTAGTGTTGTGGCATCCAGTTTCCACTGGGCCAACTTTCCATCCCAACTCAGGTGGAAAAATTATCACATATAAAAAGTTTACTTAATCAATTTACTCAGCTGTCTGATTCAAATGCTGGTTTCTCAGGTGGCCTCAGTTACAACCTAAACCATCCACTATCTATCAGGAAGCTTTCATGTGACATCCCACATGTAGGTCCCACTTGTGCATCCTCATTAACAATGCTTTACTGAAAAGAAAGAGATTGCCACAAAACTTTCAAAGGTCAGCCTAACCAGTGGTACTTTACTTTATTGCTGAATGTGGGCTGTACCTATACTTAAAATCCCTGAAAATCAATACTGCTAATAAAGCTTTTAAATTTAGAGGGACCGAAAAACAGAGGATTGAATTTAATGCTAGGGAAAAACTGACAACAAAGGAGTGATTGTTGTTCTCCTGTCAGTATTTCTACATGTAGAAATGTATAATGCATGGGACAACAAGGAACAGTAGCTTCATTTAGTATTTAGATTTTCCTAAAACATTGGGCAGGAATGTGCCAAGATGCTTTGGAGGGGAAGTCACACAAAGGAGCTGCGAAACAGAAGAGTGTTACCATATTTAGCTAGCAACTCTCTCTAGGCTTTTCCAAAAAATGCCATTTGGCCTAATAATTACTGTGTGAGTATTTCAAGGAAGAGTAATAACCTTGCCAAAGTCAATTCTTTGCCCAAAATTACTGGAAGGTATCATCTATAGTTAGTTTTATTATAACACAGGAGAAAAAATCCCATGAAGGTTTTATGTTATGCTTCAGAAGAAACTTCCCCCAGAAGCTCAAACTGAAACAGACCTTATGGAAAAGGGTAAGTCCAAATTTGAGTCCAGATGGCTTTTAAGTTTTTCAAAATAACAGGCAAGTGAAAACAAACTTGTAATGGAACGTGTCAAGCAGCTACTGAGGCTGCCTATAACAAAAATAACCTTTTTAATTTGTATAGCTTGAGATGAGGGTTAATCTATGTATGAATAAATTCTTCCATGAGCAAGGGGAGTACTAAGGAAGCCTGCTTTTGTATTGGTTTTATCCCTAAACATCCACGCCACAGTAACACGCCTTTCCCTCAGTGGCGACAAGACGGTATTAACTACCTTGCTGCTGATTTTCACTACATTTTAAGGAACTGTGACACCTCTATCCTTCTCTTAAGTCTGTCTGAAAATATTGAACAGGTTTATAGGTCATTAGAGAGACTCTAATAACAGATATCACATAAGGTATAATTTCTCAGGCTACCAAATATAAGCACTCTTTCATTTCCAAAATAAGGCATTTCCTTTTAGAGTGCTTTATAATACATAGCTATGCAACTGCTGTAATTCACACAAAGGGCAATTTTAGTCCATGTAGACAAACACTTAGGATGCAGTCAGGTAACAAGACCCAAGCTGACAAGATCTTGAGAAGCCAGGATGCTTCTTAAGAAGCCATCTATCAGCAAAATGCAGTAACTGACAGTCTGCATATTCTCAGCTATGCAAACGTAAATAAGTTAGCATGTAACTCTCTTAAAATAGAACTAAAACTGTTGTAACAAACAGCTATACAATATTTCTGAAGTAAAATGAGTATTTATTAGTGACTAAAGCAATGTCTCCCCCTCACCATTATAGCTATAAATGTTAGATGGCTACGAAGCAGGTTTTTTCTAACCCTCACTGGAAAAAAATATTCTACGTATTCTTTTCTTAACTTTGCTCTGAGGGGCCTAATAGATTTACTAATAATATTATAATAATAAATAAATATTTAATAATAGTTAAGTGATGGGTTCTTTCAATGCATTTATTCCAAATTGTTGTGTTGCTTAAAATACTAAAATTATTGAGATGCTCATGTGTATTTTTAATGCTGGTGAGGGCCTTTAAATTTGGCAGTAAAATGGCTTCTGTGACAGGTATGAGCCTTTTGTAATCTCCCTGATGAACTGCCACAATGCTAAGCCCTTTATGAGAACCACTTTTTGCACATGCTCAGCAGTGGCTCACCGCAGTTTTCAGCTACCGTCTCTTAATTAAGAGTCTTTCTGTGCTGAGGTGCTGAGCTGGACATTCCCTGCCACTGCCACTCTAGGTTGCTGGAGAGCACTGCAGGAGCAGGCATCAGAGCTGAAAACAGGAAGACTCTTCTCTATGGTCGTGGTGTTCTTTTACTGCCAAATAAATACTAGAAAAAGAACCTGAGTGAAATAGAGAAAGAAAGTAAAATCCACCAGCCTGAAATGCCAAAAAAATAGTAAAAGCTTGGACTGGAGGAGTTTGGGTAGAGTTTGGGGACCAGGCAGCTGGTTGTTGTTGTTGACAAATTGAGAAAAGGAAATCAGTTTCAGGAAAGGGAGATCTGGGACTAAGATAGCTAAGGGATGAGAAGGCTGAAACACAACAGGAAGTTAAAGGGGAATCCTGAGACTAAATGAAGAAACTGGAGCAAGAAGTCTGAGTTGGGGGAATAAAAGATTGGGACAGGGGAACTAGCAAGGAGGCCAGTGAAGCAGGCAAAAAGCTGGTGGAAATTGATAGTGGGACTGGGAGAAGAAACTGTGATCGTGTGTGTGCTTGACAAGAATTAAACAGAACAGGGAATAGGGAGCAAGGGCAGCCTGGGAATGGCTAAGTGTTCTGACCAGAGCAGGAAACTGGTTGTGGGCCACAGCCAAAAACTTAGAATGGGAAGTGGGGGGGCTGGAGCTGCAAGAAGAATCCTGCCACTGAAGACATCTATTAGCTTGGCAAGAAGTCAATGACAGAGAGACTATACTAAGATTATGACAAAAAAGAAGAGGACTGGCAAGACAGATATGAGTGGATGGGGACATAAACATCTAGCTGTGGTGAATAAAGTCCTGTGCCTACTAGATCACACCCTGGCAGCACTTTGAGCCAAATCTAAGTTTCTTCACTGTCAACATTCTTCTGCTGTCAGCCAGTACTTGTGGAACTCATTACCATCTCATAACGCCTCAGTATGTGTTCTTAAGTGGATTTAAGACCATACTGCCATTGAAAAGGATGAACATGCATTCCCTCCTGCCTCTGGCTGCCCTTTTCTTGCTTTAGCACTAAGGAGTATGGACCCCCAGTAAGAACCGATGCAGCTCACAGATCTAATCAGACCATAGATACTATTTTGCAGAGATAGCTTTCAGTAAGATCAGCAAGCTGATCTGATTTACTGTGTTTCTACATGATTACTCATATCAACCAAAGTTAAAATGGCAGAAGCTGCAGAAGAGACAGATCGGAATGCAGGAAACACCTCCACTCCCCAAAGTTTTTATGACTACCTGGTCCTACATCAACTTAAAACAGCCTGAAATGATGCTTTCTTTCCCCTCTATTGGTAGACCATACGGAGGTGGATAGCTTACTAACAATTAGTTACTAGCTGAAATGGTAAGAACCTCTTTTCTGTAACTAGAAAATTAAACCCTGGTAATGAACAGTAATGCTACAATCTGCATGACGCCGCACAAGGAGATTATAGAGTTTTGTATGCTCCTTTATTTCTCTAGAAAAAAACTAAAAAGAAAAGCTGCATCAACACATTATGAAACTTGTAAGATATATCTGAGATAAAGATTTAAAGTTGTCCTTTAGAAAAACAAAAAGTATGCAATTGTATAACTAAAGGCCGTACCATAATGTCTATAAAAATAGAGTTCCATTAAGGCAACTTAGAGGTTTTGACGTCACAACTTTCATAATGTTCTTTAATATTTTCTGTGCATGTGTAGTAGTACACAAGCTGTTTTGAATCTCTGCTTAAGTATTTTAGAAAGGCTGAGGAAAGAGAAGGGAGAGGCATGTGTGTTTTATATGTGTAAGCAGGCTAACTAAGGCCTCCATAGCTGAGAGTGAAATGAAAGGCACTTACATCATACTGTTTTCCTGCAATAAAACTCTAAACACACCAAGGATTCTGGAATATTCCCTTCGGGTTGCTTATTGGCACCTGCAAAGCAAAAAGAACTCTTTGTATTGTATTAATTATAATGTCTCTGTACCACCATGGTAGAGCAATAGCACTTTCTTTTTCACTCTGAGGCAGAAAAGTCAGTTCTAGCCAGCTTATTTAAATAACTATATCAGTTACCTAAAATTCCATATACAAAGTTCATGTTACTGTGCTCATAATTTGTTTGAATTGTATAAATGTGAACAAATTTTTAATAGTTGTCAAGGGAGAATGTGTAAGGCTTGCAAAAGATGACCCCAAGTTCACAGAATCACTCTGCCTTTATAGGAAGTGGACTTTGGTTTGGTAATTAAATTCAAAATCAACAAAGTCAGAGAGGAAATGTTTCCTTTGTACAGGCGTATCTACCTGGAGACTGTGTGCCTGCATAAAGTGAGTTTGAATACGGTCAACTGGCAGCTGTATTTGCAGAGCAGACTTCTAAGAATTATCTGGCTGGTTGCATTGGTAGACCAGATCTGATGTCACCAAGGGGACTCATAGGTGATGGTAGTACTGTCACGTTGGTCACAGCCTGGCTCATAGCAGAATACTCAACCAGCTAGTTGCACAGATAAGCTGGTCTCGACATAAGTGATTTTCTTTAGACTGGAACAGACAACAAAAGACTCTCCCTTTGCTACTCTTGATAACCACTTGTGAGGTTCATCATATATGTGATGGAATGTTTTTGAGCTGGTTTCGCAATTTATTTTCCCCACTTTTCTTCAAACAAAAGATAGTTGAATTCATGTTCTCAAAGGATATCGCAGATGGAAAAAAGTAGTTTGTAGTGATGACTAAGAAGGTTTAGTTTCAATTTCCAGAGCCAAAAATTAACTGGATGAACTGGAAGTGGGAGGCTTTAGGTCTTAGTGATATTTTGCTTTTAAGCAGAGCAATGGGATAGATTCACTTCAGCCTTTGTTCCTAGCACAGGCATCTGGAAGAGGCGTTATCTTAGGACTTAGTCAAGATTGTGAGTTAGCATCCCTTTCCATCAGAACCTTGTGCTAGTGTGTTAATTGGGGAAGATGCTCATTTTGTTGTTGTTTTGCAACTGCTACCTGTGATATATATGATTTATGTGACACAGACTTAATACGTTTATTTTGTGGCAGACTACACATTGGAAGATCAGTGCAACTGAATGTGTATTGACCAAAAAACCACATTTGTTATTATAGGAGCTTACAACAAAAACACAGCCAAAACAATTTTGTGGAATGCATAAAGCGCTTGAGTGGATAAGGAGGAAAATGCTTACACCAGTCCGCACAGATTGTCAGCATTACTGGAGGCCCTCTGAAATGGTAGTGGAAATACCCGTGAATATTAGTACATTTTAGAAGATGGTTTCACTGCTAGAGGAGTTGCTTCAAGTGAGTAAATGCCCACTTAACTAGGAAAAACCCCTTGACTTTCACACATTTGAAACGTTTGTTTAGCTGTAACTAGAGACCTGATTCTGTGGGTACTACACTATCACAGAGTGAGATAGCAAAGGCTCCAGGGAAAGTATCACCAAAAAATGTACTTGTTTTTTGCCATGTGTCATTATTTTCCATAAACGCATTGCATTAGCTGATAAAATAGACTGAATGTGTCACCAAACATGTCAGGCTCACCTGCACTTGGAGATTACGTCTGAAGATTAAAAAAAAGATCATCAGAAAATCTCTGAAGAGCAAATTTGACATTATTCATACTTTGAAAACCATAAATGCCAAGGCTATTTGGCATAAGTGTATAGCAACTTGGTGGTATGACAGTGATGGCAATCTCTTCTACATATTTCTCAAGTCACTCTATACATAGCAAAAGTATGAAAAATCCAGTGTGAAAGGAGTCTTGGTAATAAATGATCTATACCAAGCTGGATTTGAAAGGAGGGGGGGGTTAACAATTAATTCTCTGGTTAGGTTTGTAAAATAACATGAGATATGTTCTCTCACCCCTGTGCAGTTATAAATTAAACTGAATTAAAATATGCTGTCTGAGCAAAATCATATAAAGTGGTAGCAGTGTAAGCTTCCACAGATTGTTAATGACTCCTGAAGTGTAACTGAGTTGCTCTAGAATTTAATGGACTATGTTTCCGAGTTCAGAACTATCACCTCCTATTTAAGATGCTGCAGTCTAAGGTGAAGAGGAAGAAAGTATCTGAAAAATTTATCCCTCAAATCACAGCTGGAAAAATTAACTTTTTTTCTGTGAATGTTGTTATTATTGCTGCTGTTGTTATTTTTATTGTTATTATTTCCCTTTGGATTGAAAAGATTTCATTAAATTTATTGTCGACTAACCGCCAGTTGCAAAGTAGGAAACAAAAGTAGAGCCTTACAGAGCTAGTAAGGTTCTCAAAACTTAGAAGTGACTGAAAAGTATACACAATGAAATCTGACTGGGTATGTTCAGCTATGAATCTAAGTCAAAGCCGACCAGTCTGAGTCATTTTTATATCTCTAATGACTCCTGTCACTAATTAAAAAAACTGTAGGAATCCATTTACTTGCATGCAGGAGAAGAGATGAGAAAGAATTTAAACAAAGCCAACCTGAATCTCGATGACAGGATTTGTTTCACAAATGGCAGGAACTCAGGATTGGTACCAAAGAAGACAAGGTAATAGAAAAAATGTTAGAAAAAATAATAGAAAAAAGAAAGAATAAACACCCCAAGAAATTACAAGAATTGTCATCAAGCACAGATACTGAGCTTTTGGACTGCGGATGTTAGTTGACTACTCAGGAATAAATTATGTTATTACTTGATTATTCCTTATCAACCTTTACCTTAGTGGATACTTAACAGCCAGAACTTCAAATTCCCCAGAGGGATAGAATTTTCTCCCTCTTTTCAGGCATGTGCTTGTTTTCTGGAATAATAGCCATGTGGGGACTTTTTATTTTGTTTTTCCTTCCCCAAAAACATTTATAATTCCCTAACAAGATTTAAATAGAAGTTGCATTACTTCAGCAAGCCTGAATCAGCAGGGCATTAGTTTTCATGTTGAAGACTATTTATAGTGAATGGGAAAATCCGTGTATATGCATAGGTGTCTTTCTTTAAGGTTTATGTTCCACTTACAACAAAAATTGTTTCCTTTGTATCCTAAGATGTGAAACAAATTCTTAGGTTGGGCAAGTCTTCAAAACCCAAGGATCCTAACAGCTATGCAAATAATGTTTTAAATATTTTTCAATGTGTCAGGAATAGCACAGAGGCTGGTTATTCATCTTCACCTTCATAAATTTCCTCCATCCCTTGAGATTCTAAATTAGCTGACAGGTTTGAAAATTCTTCTCAACCAGTTGGACAGAAAATAAACCTACTCCTGCCTTGTTCACTGCTACATTTTCATCATCTGGACTGTAGTTGTGTTTCATGTCACTGAGAAAGTACCCATGATGAAAGCTAGGAAAGGCTCTTATGGAACAGAATAAATATGGTGGAAAGCAGACTTTGAAAATATATACACATATCTTCAATAACTGTTGCATTGTTTCATCTCTGTTGAGAACATTCTTCCAACCATTCTCCTCTTCAACTTTCTGAAAGTAAACTGGTATTATATTTTCTTATGTGACATTTCCATGATGACACCAAACACGTACTTTGACCTTAGAATATCAGATAAATGTGAAAGTATTGTAACCAGTTCTCTTTCGTTTATGTTCCTCTGTTTATTTTTGCCAGATAGTGTTTTCTTCTTACACAATGCAATAGGAATGTAACTGTGACAAATGTGGGTGTGCCTTTGAGTAATTTTTTATGCTGTATTTGGATCTGGCCTTAATATAAAGTTTCTGTGCTATACATAAGGCACTGGACATGTGATTTTCAGGTCTTTGAAGTGCATCTGCACTTCCAGCCAGGTGACAGACACATACATATGGACACCTGGGCTAACCTTCTGTGGATGAGAGTATTCCCATAATGGAGTGGTAGTTTATTAATATCCCCACTGTTTTTTTTAAATCACTCCTGTAACTCAGGTTATTTGACCTGAGATACTCTTTCACAGTTGATTGTGTCAGTTGTTAGAGGTTGCCTGTCCCTGGGGATGAGGGAGAATGATGAGAGACATTTGATGACTATCAGCATGACTATGTTATTCCTGCGTATCCCTATGAAGTGGATTGGTTCCAGCTGGATCTTAACCAGAATTAAACTAATTATGGGCTTCGGCTCTTTGGTGTTTCTAAAATCCCCTTTTCTCTCATATTTTATTCCAACTGCTAAATAAAGATGCTTTCTTCTAAGGGAACTGTTTGACAATATCAAAAGAAAAACAGGTGCCTGAAACCAGTCAGATCTGCAGGATAGGCATTAGTATATACAAGATAGTGCTTGCCTCCTGACAGAAAATAAAAGCAAGATTGTACACAAACACAAGCCCAGGATCAGACAAGTCAGAGAGGAGCCAGAGGTGAAGTCACTCCTGTAACATTGAAAATGACATGTTTGGATTCTGATAAAAGCTGATACTGACTGCTATGTACTCTTAGGCCTACAACTCTCTGCAAGAAAAAAACAAAATCCAACCACCTTTTGAGTTTATTACCCCTTGAATAGATATACATTCTCTGTCTGAGAATGAATACTTCTCTAGCAAAATTATGGCTGCTGACTCTTAGAATTTGCATCATAAAAATTTGACCCTTTGAAGTCAATGAGAGTTTTATCACCTGACTAATGGAGTATGTAGATGAAGCATAAAAATCTGTTTTGTCATATTATATGCAACTTACTGATGATTTTCTTTAGTATGTTTCAAGTATGCTGAAGAACAATTAATGCAAAGAATAGGACTTGAAGTAGGCCCTGAGCCCTTAGCTTCTCCTGATTTATGCAGAAGCAGGGAAGTTCCTTCTGTGATGCCACCTCCAGTTTCCTTGACACGTTCCACATGACAGATTCTCCGAATAGAGCCAGGGAGTTAACAATCACTATTCTCTGCTCTAGACTTAGATACTTTTTATAGAAATATAACTGATTTCTGATACATTTTTGATGGTTGACAGGGATTTTTTCCTTGCTGTTCTGCAGAGCTTTGAGTAAAAAGTCTATTCCCATGGAAAGTATTGGTGTTCCAGCCTTTGTAAGTGTGGAAAATCCTTTATTACACTTTAAAATTCACATATACAGAGACAATTTTAAGTGGTTCTGAGGTCTTTTGCAGATATTACTCTTAAGTCTTCATCTTAGCTGCTGAACCTTGAACTATTACAGTCATGTTAATTTCGCCAGCCTTTATAGGTTCAAAAGATACAGACAACAATTGCAATACTGGGGTTTTTTTTTCAATTGTTAAAAAATATTCTTCAGGTAGTTCCTCTCTTTTATATGTATTATATTGAAAAAAATATAACACTATGATGTGATATATAAAGATGTTATCTTCTGTGCTCATTTGGGATTTTGTATGAATAATTAGTAAATATTCTATTTCTGAGTAACAGAGTCATCCCATGTTTATTTTCAAAAAATTTTATATTATGTAGTGTTTATGCATGCCTGTGCTGATCTGAGACTGCATCTCTGGGGAGTGCATTCCAGGCGATGTTACACTGATGTTATTATAGCAAATACAGATAATAATGCCTATAGTTAATGGTGCTCAACACGCTCTATTACAAGACATGTTACATTGTTATCTTTGCTGAGTTTCAACCATTTTCAGTATATGCTTTTTGATGAATCCTCTCAATATTTTACCTGAAAAGATTCAGTTTGAGGTTGTGGTTTTTTTTCCCCCAGAACAATGTTCAGGAAAAATATGTTCTTTGAATAGCTTTTGTAGTGTCTCGTTGGGGTGTGCCAACAATACAACTTGACAGGTGCTTGACTCCTTGAGGAAGTACCCACTGGAGTGTCCTCGTATCTCCTTTGCTCACTTCTTTTCCTTACTGTTGCATAGGGATCTACAGGTAAGATTACAAAATGTAGATGTACGGAACTTTTAACGGCAAGAATTCCTTTCAAATTACAGCAGTGATCATTTTTGGAATTTCAGTACGCCAAATTGACATAATAGACCAACACGGTTGACAGTTTTTCAGTTTGATTAGATGTGACTTTAGATCATTTTTTTTTATTAACTTTTTAAATTTTTTTTTAATAATAATTACTATTATGCTGCAGCATGAAGTTTTAATGCCAAAATGAAAGACAGGCATTGTGCCTGTACTAATGGTTGACCTCTAGAGGAAAAGTCATTCCCTATTGCATTGCTGTAGAAAGACTGATAAAAACATATCCATGCCCTGCTAAAACACAATCTCCTTGTATAAGGAAAATGAACACAGTTCAAGTCACCATACAGGCTTGATGGCACAACCTAGTAATGTCTGTACTAGTGAATTAGTCTTGTCTATTGACAGCAAAGCTTGACTAATGATACCAAATGATTACCAGTTAGAAGCTACTAAAATTTAACAAAGCAAATCCAGTAGAATTCAGCCTATCCTAATACAGGCAAACTTCTGGAACAAGGCCTTTTGTTCCAGTCCTGCCAGGCTAAACAACAAGGCTATTGACTGTATGTGCCAGCCTTTGTTAGTGGGGGCTACCTGGAAAGATTAAAATTGCATGAATCTGCAATTTCAGACCCATTAATTCTCAGCTGTAAAATCTCCAACTGTAAACTGACCCAAGAAGAGTAGTCACGTTGACTTAAGCTTCTATGTTAAAGGATCATAATGCCATGGTCTAGCCCTAGGAAATAAATTTTTTTCCGGTGCCAGTTCTGAATAAGTCTCAAGAAACCACAGCTTAATTCTGATCTTTGATATCACCACAATTATTGCAAAAGGGCATTAATCTACCTATGGACCACCAGTCCGATCTATAAGCCAAATGGACAACTTCAGAGAAAGATAGGAGAGAAAATGAAAGACATTCAGACCACTACCTCTTCCACTTTATCACACTTTTACTAAGCTATATACTGACATGAACACACTTCCCCAAAAAGGAACTGTTCACAAACCACCTCCAAGGAAAGACATTCATTTTCTCACTAAAGATTCTTTACCTTCTGCTCTCCTTCCTTTACAGAAGATAATTTCTTTTGTTGTTGCTGTTCAGGCTATATTGAATTCACAGTCAAATCTGCAGTCTAATGATGAATCAAGTAGATATTATACTTTCCCTATGCTGAAAAGCAGCTTGCAGTGAAGCAGTTTTATGTGAAGCTTCTCAAGCACCAGACCTAACCGATTAGCATAACATTCTTATATACATGACTAAAACTTTTGGTAAGAGGTACTAGTACAACTCAGCCACACTGCAGTGCACTGGATAGACCTACTTTATGATGATTACAGAAAGTCTAAATTTAATCCACTGTATAGAAAATGTTCCTCTGGATATTCAAGGGAAATCAAACCCTGGATCCCACGTATCTGCATCTGTATTCCCAGTACTAAGGGGAAGCTGCAGGGCCTGTTGAATTCCAAGAGGCAGCTACAAAACCAGAGGATCAAACCTAAGCAGATGATCCCATGGATGTTTGTTTCTTTGTCATTTACTTCAGAAAACATGTTGCAGTCCTGTGAACTTGAGGAAAGAAAGGAACACAAGCTGTAACATTCTGCCAGCAACTGTGGCTGAGACATCGCCACAGTATTTGATATTCTGACATCACCATGATAAAATAAAATTGCTCTTCCAGTCACAGAAAAATACAAGGTTGAATCTTGAAACTTAAAGAAAAATGTAGATCTTTGGCCAATTTCTGATCTCAAAACTTTACTGTTGGATCCAAAATTTCTTTTTGCTCATAATAGTGCATTTCTGTTGCTCTAGAAGATAACTTTCCTTTGAATTTCTCAGTTTTCCCTTCTTCAGTTATTTAAGGAGAAAAGATAGTTAAGCTTCTTACTTTTCTCCTCTGAATGGAAAAACAATTGGTGTTTTCTAGTGTTTCTACAATTCAGAAGGAATACCTGGTTCTTTTTCAATATCTGCAAATGTCCTTATAATGGAAAGCAGCTAACAGTTTACCACCCAGACTAACTTTCTCTTCACTTGGCACACTGGTTATAGGATTTTGAAAAGGCTTGATACATCATGTTGAGGAAAAAAGAAAAAAAGCTGGAGATTTTTAAACTCTGGAAAAGCCAACCTGTAAATACCATACTTGGAGCCAGAAAAAAAAAATCTTTTATGAATAAATCTCCTGCATGAGCTGTATCCCAATATCTACTTCATTAAAAATCTGTAGGGCTTGCTATATCCTCTATAAAACTACAGAATTTCACCTGTCTCTATTCTCCACATATGTACTGGAAAACTGCATTTAGTCATGAGAACATAAGTTACAGATTCCAGAAAAAAAACAAAGAATGGATCTCTCTCAGACATGGTACCTACATTTACATCAGTTCTCCACCTACTGCTTTCTTAGCTTATGACACTTCCTTTCAAAAACTGAAGAGGACATCCCCTAATTCAGTTTTCAGGTTCAATTTTCTTCATTTCATAATGATCTCTACTTGATTATGAGAACGAGCAAACTGTTATGGCTGATCAGCCAATTGAAGTGTTCCCAACCCAACTGTTAAGCTAGGATTTTGTTTTCTTAGCTGTTTTATAAACTCATTCTCATCCTCACCAAGGCAAGGGAAACTACATTCCAGTGGTAGAGAGCTCTACTTTGAATAGAGCCAAGGAGTTCAAGGAAGTAGCTACAACTTTTTATCTCTGATGTGGACCTAAACATCTAAACCCTGCTGGTGACCCATAGGGTGAGCTGAAAGTGTGAGCAACATGACTATACAAGATCATTTTTATTTTAGATCATTTTACATTTCCAGTCTGGGACTTTTAAACATAAACTTCTTTAAAGTTAGGCAATACTTTTATACCTTCACGGTCTATGTGTGTTCTCCGATCAGCTATTCACATTAGCACTTCTATGGAGATTTTGCCTTATTCAAGGCACAGAGGGCCTTCTAGGAAAACATCAGGAATGTGTAGCAGACAGATTTACCAGGGACATAAAGAGATAGATATTAATCTCACCTCTGTTACCACTGACTGCATGGCTCTCATACTCACAGCTATCTATGTCTGTTTCTGTATACTGATGGAAGCTGTCAGTTTTAAGGTTCCAGTTTCATGTGTTGCAGAACTAGAAAGGTGGGTGGTGGCAGAAGCAGGAGAATGGAGGAAGATAAAAGCAGGTCCTCTAGATGAAACATGCATTTTGTCCTGTGAGATTATAATTTAGTCATACTTTCATTACAAAGCTCCCATTTGATACTAAGCAAGTCATTTAAAACACGTAAGTCATGGATGGCTTCTATATATATTTTTTGAAACTCAATTCAAGGTACTGGGTACCTAGCTGGTGTCACAGAAGCATCCAGTATTTACATTTCTGACAAATACCAATAAAGATGCCACTTTTAAAAGAAAAGGTACTATATTCTCTGAGGTACTTAAATCTAGGCCTTTTTAATTGAAATCAGAGAAATCAGTGGACACCCCTGACAATATTTACTGTAATTTCATGTCTCAGTTTTAGAGGGGGAGAGGTTGGATGATAATACAAACTCATTTCATGGGCAGAAGGTGAAGATGAAAAAATGGTTGTTAAAAAAAAATATTCCAATAAGTCTATCATTGAAGTACACAACGAAACAGGGGATCATCTGCTAGCATTCTTTGAAAGTGCAAATTTGCAGAAAGAAACTATGTCGTTATCATGAAAGACCTAGGTAGAATCATAGAATCATACAACAGTTAGGGTTGGAAAGGACCCTCTAGTTCCAAAACACCTGCCATGGGCACGGACACCTCACACTAAACTGTCTCACCCAAGGCTCTGTCCAACCTGGCCTTGAACACCGCCAGGGATGGAGCATTCACAACTTCCTTGGGCAACCCATTCCAGTGCCTCACCACCCTAACAGGAAAGGATTTCTTCCTTATATCCAATCTAAACTTCCCCTGTTTAAGTTTTAACCCATTACCCCTTGTCCTGTCACTACAGTCCTTAATGAAGAGTCCCTCCCCAGCATCCCTATAGGCCCCCTTCAGATACTGGAAGGCTGCTATGAGGTCTCCATGCAGCCTTCTCTTCTCCAGGCTCAACAGCCCCAACTTTCTCAGCCTATCTTCATACGGGAGGTGCTCCAGTCCCCTGATCATCCTCATGGCCCTCCTCTGGAACAATCCAACAGTTCCATGTCCTTTGTCCTTTTTATGTTAAGGACACCAGAACTGCACACAATACTCCAAGTGAGGTCTCACAAGAGCAGAGGGGCAGGATCACCTCCTTCGACCTGCTGGTCATGCTCCTTTTGATGCAGCACAGGATACGGTTGGCTTTCTGGGCTGCGAGCACACACTGAAGCCAGCTCATGTTCATTTTCTCATCAACCAACACCCCCAAGTCCTTCTCCACAGGGCTGCTCTGAATCTCTTCTTTGCCCAACCTGTAGCTGTGCCTGGGATTGCTCAGACCCAGGTGTAGGACCTTGCACTTGGCATGGTTAAACTTCATGAGGTTGGCATCAGCCCACCTCACAAGCGTGTCAAGGTCCCTCTGGATGGCACTCCTTCCCTCCAGCATATCAACGAAACCACACAGCTTGATGTCATCAGCAAACTTGCTGAGGGCACACTCCATCCCACTGTCCCTGTCACTGACAAAGATGTTAAACAAGACCGGTCCCAACACCGATCTCTGAGGGACACCACTCGTTACTGGTCTCCAGCCGGACATTGAGCCATTGACCACAACTCTTCGTGTGTGGCCACCCAGCTGGTTCTTTATCCACCGAGTGGTCCATCCATCAAATTGATGCCTCTCCAATTTAAAGACAAGGATGTCGTGTGGGACAGTGCCAAAGGCTTTGCACAAGTCCAGGTAGATGACATCAACTGCTCTACCCCTGTCCATCAGTTCCGTAGCCCCATCATAGAAGGCCACCAGATTGGTCAGGCAGGATTTCCCCTTAGTGAAGCCATGCTGGCTGTCACCAAGCACCTTGTTGATTTTCATGTGCCTTAGCATGCCTTTCAGGAGAATCTGCTCCCAGATTTTGCCAGGCACAGAGGTGAGACTGACTAGTCTGTAGTTCCCCAGGTCATCCATTTTCCCCTTCTTGAAAATGGGGGTTATATTTCCCTATTTCCAGTCATCAGGATCTTCACCTGACTGCCATGATTTTTCAAATGTGATGGACAGCAGCTTAGTAACTTCATTTGCCAGCTCCTTCGGGACCCGCGGATGGATTTCATCAGGACCCATGGACTTGTGCACGTTCAGGTTTTTAAGATGGTCACAAACCAGATCCTCTCCTACAGTGGGCTCAAGGTCTTCATTCTCACAGTCCCTGCATCTGTCTTCCAAGACCTGGGTAGTGTGGTTGGAGCATTTGCCAGTGAAGACCGAGGCAAAGAAGTCATTAAGAACCTCAGCCTTCTCCAAATCCAGCGTAGCCAGTTCTCTTGAGAGCTTCTGGAGAGGGCCCACATTGTCCCTAGTCTGTCTTTTATTTGCAATGTTCATATAGAATCCCTTCCTGTTATCTTTCACATCCCTAGCCAAGTTTAATTCTAACTGGGCCTTAGCTTTCCTAACCTGGTTCCTGGCTTCCCGGACAACATCCCTGTACATTTCCCAGGCCGCCTGTCCTTGCTTCCACCTTTTATAAGCTTCTTTTTTCCCTTGAAGTTTCTTCAGCAGCTCCTTATCCATCCAAGGAGGTTTCTTGTCCCTCCTGCTGCACTTCCTTCTCGTTGGGATGCAACACTCCTGAGCTTGTAGCAACACCCCTGAGCTGTAAATAAGGTAAGGTATGATGATGTCAGTCAGCAAAAATTACCAAGAATCTATTTATAACCATAATTACCATTCTTTTCTTTGTATATTTAAATCTGATTGTATTACTGCCTTAATCTAATCTAGAAGTCATAGAATCATCATAGAATCACTGAACGGTTTGGGTTGGAAGGGACCTTAAAGATCATCTAGTTACAACTCCCCTGCCGTGGGAGGGGACACCTTCCACTAGACCAGGTTGCTCAAAGCCACATCCGGCCTGACCTTGGACACTGCCAGGGATGGGGCAATTACAGCTTCTTTGGGCAACCTTTTCCTGTGTCTCACCAGCCTCATAGTAAAGAATTTCTTCCTAATGTCTAACTTTAATCTCTGCTCTGTCAATTACAATCCATTCCCCCTTGTCCTATCCCCACATGTCCTTGTAAGAAGTACCTCTCCAGATTTCTTGTCAGCCCCCTTTAGGTGCTGTAAGACTGTTACAAGGTCTCTCCTAAGCTTTCTCTCCTCCAGACTGAACAAGCCCAACTCTCTCAGTGTTTTGCAAGTCAGTGAAAGTAATGCCATAGAATCATAGAATTAACTAGGTTGGAAAAGACTTTTAAGGTCATCAAATCCAACTTTTATCCCATGTTTGAGCGTGCGTGGAAATGTCTTAGCAGTTTAGAGAATTAGGAGGCTCTCTCTTCTAAATTTTAATGTAAAGAACCTTGTTTTAACAGTTGCTTCTTCAGGTGATCCCATTTTCCTCAATGTGGCACAGAACTAAAACTGTTTTTCTTCCTGAAATGATCTCTGTTCAAACTGCTCTCATCACAAAATTGGAAAAACAGTCCTCAGTTTTGTTGGAAGATATGGATAGCAAGAAACACTTTTTTTCCTAGGATTTTTATTTCTTCATTTGAACTTTAGCATCTTGGACTACTCGGAAGGCGAAAGGCCAAGATGGAGGTGAAGAAGAGGTGAGGAAAGGAAGAGGGACAGAAATGAGGGAGAATATCAGAGGGCAAGGATGAGCTACATCCTGGGTGTTGAGATGAGGACAAAGGAGCATAGGATCAAAAAAAAAAAAATATTAGGTGCAAAGGAATATTATGTATTTCATATCTAAGCTGTCAACATACTTTGGCCAGTATGGAGTTTTAGATTATCCAGTAGGTTTAGATCAAGGAAGCCTGGAAACATGAGTAGGATTAATCTCAACTATCTTTAGGCAGTTGTGGAATAGGTGCCATACTTCCAGTTGGTAAAAATTGAAAAAAAATAAAAAATTGTTAAAGTCAACAAAGTGAATCAAATTTAGACTTCAATTCATCTGATCAGACAGAGGTGTCTACTTTAGGATGAGATGAAGCATGCTGTGAATTCCGTTGACAATGTTGACTAGCTTTCCATTGACTGTGAAAAGATAGCATAGGATGATTTGATCAGATGTTAATGCCTATAGCATAGACCATCACATTTAGCCGTATCGTTACTGCCTTTCGAAATCGTTTAGCTAATCACTGACTATCTCAGCTACTAAATCCTTCATTTTCAAGCCCTACTCCCAAATACTAAAAAGTAGTTAATCACCTTAATATAACTGATTGTAAGTTATTGATAGTCACTTTATTATCATGAGTTATGACCTTGTATATAAATACCTGCGTATGAAACAAGGCCATGATCCCTTGGTTAGAGCAAATCATGGAGATAGAGAACCATTCCCATCTAATACAGATCTCTATGGTGTTTCCAGTACCATAAACTTCCAGCCAGCTGTGGCCTGCCACCATTAACTATCTCAAATTCAGCTATTCCACCATCCATGAGGATCTTCATAGACATTGCAAGGGCATACAGTGAGGTCAAAATGGAGTTGACCTTTCAAATGAACTTTATAACATTATCTTATGTACCTTAGAACATTCTTTGTTCTGCTAAATAGAAGAATGACTGTCCTCCTGACTTTACCAGGACTGTCACTGTAGGTGATTGTCCACTTCAAACTGGAAGTGCCATGTGTGTATGGTAATGCTTCCCACTCAGCTGACATTGCTCAATTCTGTCCAAAGCTAGATTAACCAAGGCTGTCTCAAGCACCTCTTAGAAATATTTGCTGCCACTGTCAAAACTCAAACTGGCCTGGCTTTCCACTTTTCCTGGACTGCTTCCTTACTGTATTCCATACAACTTCTCTACTAGAAACACCTGTATGCAATGTTAGTAAAGCCATTTAGGAAGTTGGCATGAAGATGGCTTTCAACAACCAAAACATTGTTGAAATTGACAATCCTGCCTTAGTGAGTAAAGGTGAAATACCTTAAGAAGCAAGAAGGAAATGGTGATCTAGACAATTCACCATAAAACCTTTGGAAAACTTGACTTTTTTCTAGTGAAAGCAAGATGAGAGCAAGCTATCATGGAAGTTAGTGAAGCGAAGTCCAGCTGGAAAATCTGGGCACCACTATTGCATGGTATTTTATAACAGCACAGTTGATTCTCCTGAGAAGTCTTATAAAGCAACAAGGACAAAAGGTTAGAATAGAAACCAGAGAGGAATTAAGTGGCACAGCAAACAATGAATATATGTAACAGAACTTCTTTCACTGAAGATGAAATATGGAGTGTATTTGAAATGTTAAAAATTAGTAATAGCTCTGAGCTTTTGTTGTTTCCTTGAAATACTAAAATTAGAGCAGTACTGATGAATTGTGGTTTTTTTTTAGTCACCCAGAAGATCAAAATACCTAAGACCTGGTTTACTGCAACAGTAAGACCATTAGTAAAAATGAAGATGTTCTATTCTTATGCCGTTCAAGCAAAGTAATGTCTTTAGCAACCACTGCCGCCATCTCTTCGCTAAAACATAAGTACCTATTACCTTAAAAGATTGTCCTTCAGAAGGTGGGTACAATGATGGCATGACATGTACCACTCAAAAAGGATTCAGACCACATCTTAGGAACTGTGATTAAATGCTCACCTCCAGATGACAGTCACAGAGTTCCTAGATCTTAACTGTCTCAATTTTATACAGGCCTATCCTTTTGTCAACAATCCTCTTACTGTCACAGAACGACCCCCTTTTGCACCACTTAGACTTCAAGACTCGGTCTTGAAGATCTCAAGCAGTGGTTCAAATACCTTTTAATAGGCTGGTTAGGAAATTAGGAAAGTATGAAAAGTATGAAAGTTGTTAGATGTCTTATCTCCATAAATTATGTCTGTCTTGCAGTCCAGAACCAGAATTTCAGTTATCCAGAAGAAGGATGTTGACTTTGGAGACATGATGTATTTGTCACAAGGAATGGCCAGGTTAACCACCTCTGAGATGGGAAACTCCAGCTCTTTCTGCATAAATATCCCAAAGCCTACAAACGGATCAACGTCTTCCAAATGGGTACTTGCTAGACAATGGTCCAAAACATGTTTATCAAAGTAGAATATTGAGTTTCTTGGCTTTTCAGAAATGTTTTTGAAGGACTTTGACAAAATAAAAAAAAAGAGGTAACTTGATAAAAATTTAGTTGAGCCAATGGGTTCATTGGTCACACAAACGCGCTGGACTCTTTTTTAACTTGTGCTGTTCTACATCTACCTGACGTGGTACAGAATAGGAAACAGTGGAACAAATGCCTTGGTGTGATGAAAGGCAGAGTAAGGCACTCCTCTCCTGACACTGGTTTTGTCCCACCCTTACGCCTTTTTGAGATCAGAAACTCTGTCATGCAGAATTTGCTCTTGAAGGAGTAATTTGTCACATCTACCTTTGCACAACGATGTCTTCAGTTCATTGAGCTAATGGGTTACTACACGGCACCTCGCTGGCCCAGTTTCCTATGAAGCACTCCCAGATGACACATGAGGTGACAACGACAAGTTTTGTGGTGTAACCAGTACTGGACTCATAAGAAAGTCAACAGCTCATCTACTTTCTGTTGAGCCATCATCCAAGGGAGGTCTTGGTGTAGGGCCTTCCTGACTCTGCAAACATGGTCAGCTGGGAGGTGTAAGCTGCGCGCAATGATCATGTGGGGCTGCTTAGTTCTCACACGGATTTGCCCACGTCCTTCACTCGTTTACGGCAAATGCATTCCACCAAGTAAGTTCGCACAGAAGAAAACGTAGACAGACGCACTACATCGTTGCTTGTACATATGGTGGTAGAGTTGGCCAATGGGTTGGGATGGCCCCATGGGGCTGGACAAGCTGCGGTGGTGAGGAGAGGGACGACTGCGGGTACCAGAAGCCCCGGGGTAGGGCAAAGGGGGAGCAACGAGGGCCCCGCACGTGTGTGGGCCCCGTGTTCCACCACCCCCACCTCCCCCCCCCGCGCTTCCCTCCCGCCTCTCGGAACTCCGCGGCCGTCCCGCACCAACCCCCATCCCCGGCTCCCCGGGCGCGGCCCCGCCGGCCCCCGCGCGCCGCCGGGGCTCAGCTGAGCAGACAATGGGAGATCAAAGCGGGGGGAGGAGGAGGAGGAGGAGGAGGAGGAGGAGGAGGAGGAAGAGGAGGATGGTGCCGGGGGCGGCCGGAGCCGGGGCGGGGTGGTTGCGTGTGGCGCTCTCTGAGCTCGATTAGTGTTCCTGGGGAGGGAGCGAACGAGCTGAGCGAGCCGGGGACGGAGGGGTGGGGGGGGGGGGTGTGTGTGCGGGGTGCAGCCGCCGTGCGCGAGTGCGTGTGTGCGCGCGTGAGAGAGTGTGTGTGTGCGCGCGCGAGGGAGAGAGTGTGTGCGTGCGTGCGTGCGTGCCGGCCTGCCGGGGCGTGCGAGAGAGGCAGCGCGAGGGAGCGGGCGCGAGCGGGGAGCCAGCGAGTTGCGCAGCTGCCGTGCGCGCAGACCCGCCGCCACCAGCAGCAGCGGCGGCGGCAGCGGCGGCAGCACCTCACCGGCTTTTAGCGACCGGAGCTGCGAGTTGCGCTGGAGAGAGACGCGCAGGGAGGAGGAGGAAGAAGAAGAAGAGGAGGAGGAGGAGGAGGAGGAGAAGGAGGAGGAGGAGGGGAAAAGGAGGAGGAGAAGAAGGATAGCGGGAGGAGGAGAAGAAGAAGGAAAAGAAAAAGAAGAAGAAGAAGAAGAAGAGGAGGAGGAGGGTGAAGAGGAAGAGGAGGAGGCCACACGGACACCAACTGAAACAAAGTATTTCCAAACCAGCACCCAACTCCACCTTGTGAGGCTCCCCAGCATGGCTTCCGAGGAACTCTACGAGGTAACAGCCCCCGAGCGCCGGCCCTGCCCCCGGCCCCGCCGGCCACCCCACCCCACCCGCCTTTTTGTTGCTCTCGGGAGAGCCGGCGGTCTTGTCACCCACACTTGCTGCGGCTGCCCCTTCCCGCTGGGCCCGGCGCCTGCGTGTGTGCCCCCCCCCCGTCCTCCCCCCGCCGCCCCTTCCCTCCCCAGTTTTGCCGGAGGAGGACGGAAATGTGACTGAAAGGAGACGGCAAAGTGTTACCCGTGGCCTGCGCTCTCCCCTTCTCCCTCAAACCCCCCCGTTCACACAGCACTTTGACTCTAGAAGGAGAACGGGGCGGGGGGCAGAGGATTCTGGATGGGGTGAGCAGCGCTGACAGCCGCGACTTGCTCCGGGAGTGAGCACGACGAAGTGCGAGCCCGGCGGTGTGCAAAAATGCGTGCAAAGCCGAGTTATTGCATGTGTCCGGAGGGGGGAGGGAGGGCAAGAGGGGCTTTCCTCCTGAATTGGTGTCTGTACCGAAGTCCTGTGCCACCATCCTGTGCCTTTGCCATGCAGCAGGCTGCGATGATGCAAAATATTAAAATTTAAACTCCTCGGCTCTCCGTGCTCTAACGATACGGTTAACGTTGCAAGAGAAGCCAAAAATATTCAAAGTTAAGGTTCTGACGTGCCATCCTTAGCTCATCACTCGGGAGCTGGTCAAAGGGTGTGCTGACGGGAGAGGAAGGTTTTGGGGTGAAGAAGGGAATGAGGTGACAGCCTAACTTTGAATTTCCTGTCTTATGTGTGACAGTTTTACATCCTTGCCCTTAATTGAAAAGCATTATGGCTCTCTTGGATTTAACTTCCTTGTTTTTATTTTCACAAGAAGTCTTCCCTAGGAGTGAAAAGCTGTTGTTGTTTTGGAGCCATTCTTGTCTTCTGGGTAAAAAAGTGGCCACCCAAACCCAAAACTGCTTTATCTCCTAGTTAATGTACATCCAGGCAGTGTTCTATCAAAAATATTTATATCCAGAGGCTGGAAGGATAAGGTCAAAGGGAGACAGGCAGCCTGCAGGACACTTGACAGAACAAGATGTCTTACTGTACTGTTGGTGCACGTGTGTCTCCCGTTAATGCACTTACATTTGTGTTGCTGTGGGTGAACACACCCGTAGAAGCCAGTGAAAGGTGCCCTAGGTGGGCTTACGTTTTAAGCAAGTTGACTGCCGAGCAGAGGTGATGAACTGATAAGGTAGAAGATACAGGCCTTTATCCCCTAGACAAGATAAATCATGGCCAATTGCTTTGGCAAGTTTCGCCATCCTTATAGCATGGCTTAAGCCAGTCTTGAAGGGATCTCTCCTGGAAGCAGGAGAGAAATTTAGGGACCGGTCTGTGTGTGACAGGATTGCCCACAACTTGCTTTGACTTTGGATGAAGTTCTGTTGAGTTTGTGGACTTGGACCCGTAGACTGTTCTGTGGCCAATAATTTTTCTTTGTGTGTTGCTGTGTTTGGTCAAAGACAGAGAATGGGATATCGATTTTGATAGGTATAAGAAGTGACCAGAAGAATTGCATTTGCTGGATATTGGGCTGAGCTTTAGAGTGGCCACTGCTCATTACTCTTCTTGGTTGTTAAAATGTTGACTTGTGCAAAAGGCTCAGTAGGTTGTTGAGCATGGCTGTCCTCACTGGGCAGGCAGCATGTATAGTCTGCTGGGCAAAAACCTCTTCTGCAAAATGCCTGAAGTTGATAAACTACTTTTTAATTTTAAAAATCAGACACATTCTTTAATTGTGTAAGTTCAAAGTTTATGTGCATGTGGTCAAGCTGTCTTTTTTGCTACTTTTTTTGTTTTCTAAATTGCTGTTCATTTTTGACAAGTTGTGTCTTGTAGTGAAATTTCTAGCCATGGATGAAAAATCATAAAATAGTAAGTAACTGAAATATAGTGAACACTAATTTAGGAAGTGTGTAACTGCAAGTTGACCTGAAATGTTGACTATTAGCTAATAGTTCTGTGAACTGCCCATGTTGTTGACTGGGGGTTTACTTCTGTTTCATGGGTATTTTCTTTGTGATTAATACCATACAATATTCTTTGAACCTGGTGATTGAAATCCAGTGGCATTTGTTATACCTTCATCTTTCCTTCTGAATCTTGATCTTGTGTCTCAATCAAAAAAAGTGTATAATCTATTTGCAATTGTTAGACAAAGTATGAATACCAACTACTCCTGCTGATATGTGTCATGATTCTTCCAAAATGCAAATGAGAAATCCTCTTACAAACAATAAAAATGATGGTAAGGGTTTTTTTTTGTTTGTTTTTTTGGTTGTTTTTTTTTAAAGAAAATTTTTTTTTATGGATCCATAAAGATTTTTTTGTGGGAGAGAAGGAGCCAAACTGTAAGCCCGTGAGGTGGAATTCAGAGATTGAAACCTTGAAATACACTACTGGGCTGGAAGGATGACATTGCTGGGCAGCCTGTATATCCTGTATGTCATTAATTCCCAAGCATTTTAGAGGTTGTGGTAATGATTACCTGCATTTTTGAGGCGGGGAGAAGATTTGAAGAAAATATGAAACTTTCATTGAGAAATGCTGGGGAGTCTCTTTTTTCCTAGATGGAAAGTGAAACACGTAGTAATGTTGCCAAGCTCCATGGGTGAGGTGAATTACATAGTTTTTCTGTTGGTTTGATTCTTCAAGTGACAATATGTTGGTGAGGTAGACAGACATGGAGAAACTGGTGAACAAGACAGGTAAAGGAAAACATATGAAAAGGTGCCACTGGGAATTGTTTCCCCCAGATTTCTTTTGATAGGCATTGACATCTTACAGCGTACTTCTTTGTGGGTGCCTGCTGCCATCTGCATTACTGTGGCTTTTGGAAAGTCCTTTGTACAGCTACTTGGGCAAATAGTAGGGCTACTTTCTTTTACACTGTGGCAAGTTTGCTTTGCTTTACTGACTGATTCCTGCCATCTGAAAGATTGTTGCTTATTTTCATCATCTTCACTGGGGTAATTAGAAGTGGGGTACCCACCTCATTTTGAAAGTTCTTTTGGAAGCAAACTATGTTTACTTACTCTGCAGTCAAATCACTTGATTTCCTCTGGCAGGCCCTTGCAGTGATGTCCAGGACTGAAGTCATCCTGAGTTGTGGTTGGCATGA